CTTTACTGGGCACTCAGCTCTTGGCCCCAGATGCTCCTAACTAGCTGACTCTGTCCCTGGCCATGGTGTATTCTCTTTCTTCTGACTTGGATGTCCTTTCATGTGGCTAGGCCAAAGCAAATAAAATAGTACAATAAGGCCTTTCAACAAAACTGCTATTAATATGTATTATAGCAGTGCCTGGAGTAGCCAGTTGAGATAGAGACTGTGTGTTGTCTAGTTAAACATTGTCTCTGTCCTGAAGCAGCAACAATCCCTGGGCAAAGTCTGCCACACTCCCCTGGAGTATCTTGTTGCTCACAATCATTAGCTTAATTGATTTCAGTGGCACCATCCATGCATCAAAGTATAATTTTTCATGAATGACAACAGCAGCAATCTGTTCAAGTTTAGAATTACACTGTTCCCTGGACGTGTGTTATTTCTTGAATTCATATGAAAGACAAGGTGAAGGAAATATCACAAAGATCAGTTGAGCTGCATGAAAATCCCTTCTGAAATCCTATTTTTTCCTACCAAGAAAGTAAGAAACACTTTAGAACTAGGATTTAGGAATGCCATTTCATTAAACTGGTAGATGAGGATATACTGTATGCCCATTTGTGCTCAGTGGACTTCAAAGGATTTAACTGATAATGCTTTAATGATAAATTAACTGATTAAAAACTTTATTGAAAAACTAATAAAATCAGAACAGGACCTGGGTATTCCATTTCAGCTATACCAAACTCTATTATTAATAAGTTCTGCCTATTACTGTGGATATATGTCTGTGTAGGGGCTTGGTGACCCATCAAAGCTTTTTGAGTTTAATTAATGATGATAAATTCCTGCTTATAAGTCTTTCAGACTTCGGTCTTTCAGTAAATTACATTTGAAACAATAGCCTGTACTTCAGCATGAATAATTTTTTTCTAATCAGTGATAGACCTTCTCCAACAGGACAAGCCTCTAGTCTGTGGTCCTAGGCTAGGGCTTTCAAGTACTTCTTTTCTGCTTCAGAAGCATTGATGGGGGCATATGGCACTGAGAGCTAAGTTGCAAAAGGAAAGAGAGATCATGGAGCATCTTGTACCAACCGTCTACTGTATAGCTCCATGGTCTCAATATTAGCTCCAAATCAAAAAGGGGCAGATAATGGTGAGAACAAATGAGCCATCAAGTTTCATTTACTTTCATTTTCAGAATGGGTTCAGGGCTTCAGTGAGTGTTGCAGAATTTCAAACTTGTTATTAAACAAGAGCTTTATAAAATGAATATATAGATGAATATTGCATATAGACAGAATAATACAGAATAAGTGCTCGCCTGTTTTAATACACTGGCACATTAAGTCTTCCTCTTATAGGCTTGGTCAGCTGCAGGTAAGGTTAGAAAATCTAGATTTAGCCTGAAAATATTCAATGGCTTTATGCTTTATCTTTCTTTTTTCATTCATAAAAGCCCATTTTTTATGCAGATTTGTTTTAAATTATAGCTTCAAGCAGAAATCAGCTTCATTCTTTATCAGATGAAATGGACTGCTGTGCCTCTACGTAGTTCTGTGATTCATTCAGAGAAGACAGAAAATGAGGATACCAAAGCCCCTACAACCTGGACAATGATGGCCCTCAGGCACTCTGAACTAAGGGAGCAGAGCCAGAGGGTTCAGACCCACATCTCGTCACCCAGCTGTTGGGAAGACCCTCCTTTTCCCTGTGAAGCTGTCCTACTTTGCAGCACAGAGTAAAAGATTGAAGGGGACAGCAACCGATCTTAGCTGTAGTCCAAGGATTAAGGGATTCACCCAGAAGGGAAGAAAACTGGTTTAATCTCTTCTTCAAGGGCTGTTTTATGCTGATGAATGCAAAACAGGTAAGCTGCCTATGGAGCAAGAACTGGCATGAAAGTACCCCTCTTTATTCAGGCATGAGCTCTGATGGGGCTGGGGGAGTGAGGATTCCTAAAGGGAGTTTCTTCTGTACTGCTAGGCATTGTGAGGTCTCTCTGCAAGGCTGATGGATAGTCAGTCATAAGTTCAGCACTGATTGCAATAACAACAAGCCTGAGCCCTGGGATTTTCGAGACTTTAGGATGAAAGCAGCCATGTAAAGTCAAACCACTATGCAATAAGGCATCACTTTAATCCATTAACTCTCCATGATGGGCTAAGTATGTTTCCTAATTACCAAGGGTGACTTTGGAGGGTAGCTTAACTACATGATTGCCACTAATAGGAATGAAAAGTTTATTGTTGYATTCTAGACTTTGCCTAATATCTTAATTTCACCCTCAGAGCTGCGCCTGCAGGCAGCAGTCAGATGAGATCCATTRAAGGAAAAATGTGTTTAGCGTCAGTATTCAGGATTTAGTGCACATAGATTGATCTTCTTTATTTGTAATTCCCTGTTCAGGCATTTCCCTTTAATGCTGTGAGAGCATTTTGAACTCTGAAAAAGTCAGGCTGAAGGATAACATGTGGTGCAATTACAGCAGAGTTGCTTTTCCTGAAATTAAGAAATGTGAACAAAAGGCTTCCTGGGCCTGTCCAGTTTTTAAAATCCGTTGTGTCAAGTAGGGAACAGAAGGTAAGGAGCAGACAGGGCTTGGGTCTTTTTCTCCTGCTTGGACTGCCTCCAGTGTTACCAGTGTACAAGCTACAATCGCAGGCCTCTGATGACTTCTGTTCAGCTGCAGGGAGCTGCCGCATCCCTGCCCCCCCCCAACAGCCCTCACAAGGGCATTGCAACAGCTGAGAATAAAAGGAATGCAGCAGCTCAGGTCATCTTTCTCTCATCCCTGCTTCAAAATACTCCTCTTCCAGAAAGGAAAGCCATGGTTTGGTCTGATAGTGCTGCACCATTCGGCAAGTCTCCTTAAATTCACAATAACCAAGGTTGTGGGAGCGAGTTTAGATCTGTCAGTGCAGAGCAAGCAGTTGACTCCTTAGAAGCTGAAGCTCTTGATTTGGAAAGCCATCTCTGCCAGTGGGAAACTGGTTAGAAAAACTGCTCCTCTCTCCATTTCAACTCCTTCCTTCCCACCCACATGCCGCAGCTCATGCTCCCCTCAGTTGTGCCAAGGCAGCTGCTTCAGGGACTGCTGCAAACAGGATTGCTTCAATATTCTCAGTTTAAAAATAAACCTTTTTTTTATTATTCTTTAGCTCAAATTATGTCAWTAATCCACTCTGCAGTTCAGCCACAGAAGCTGGTGCATTGCTTGGGGTGGGGGGGACACAGAGAGACACAGTGCTGGGCAGAAAAATTGTGGCTGAGGAGCTGTTTCATTGCAGTATGGTCCTGTTCTCCCACCAGATTCCTACATTGTGACCTGGATATTCCGCTCTGTATGGAGCTCCTTGGCATGAGAATACTGAGCTGGACACTGATTGGTCAGGCAGCAGTTTACGCCCAGTGAAACATGGACACACCATTGCACTTGTGCTGAATTGAGGAAATAATGCACCATGGACTGTTTAATCCTTAAATAGTCATACTAACCTCATCTTATGGGAAGCAAAGTAATACTTTTCCTGCAAAGACTGCAAAGTTACCTCAGCCACACTCCCAGTTATCTGGAATTAAGTTTAATAAGTAGAATTAGGCATGTAAATCAAGCCTGTATCTTGAAAAAGATTACTTGCGTATTTGAAGGCAACTACTGGGTTTGTACTTCCCAGTGATGACAATGGGTGTAACTCAAAGCAATGAAGTGAAACTAAAGAATGAAAAATTTACATTAAATAAAAACAGAGAGAAGTGCTGTATTCTGCATAATCCTGAATGAGAAACAGCCTGTATTTCTTATATACTAAGAAAGATTGGATTAAATAATCAAACTGCAGCATAGGGAATAATTTTTCATAGGTGAGACAGGCACAGCGATAAACTTACTGGTCTTTATCGCTATCTACTTTCCATGAATCTAAAATGATTAATGGATTTATTTCCATAGAATACATAAAACGAAGTGCCTTTTTTTACCAGTAACATAACTGAGCTTATTAAATACTTTATTAAGTTCAGCTAACCTGTTCATATAAATAAGACTACAGAGATCAACCACAGGTTGACCTGCAAATGTCACTGTAGCTACGGCCTTGGCACTGCCTGTGTGAACCAAGGCAAATTTATAAGCTGGATCCACAGCACAACCTTCACCACATAGATTTTATACTGATTTTAACTATTTTGATTCAAGGTGTGGCTTATTCCGAGGAAGTTAAATGGCACTGCCCTGGGGCAATTTCTTAAACTGTATTTGTACTGGAATTTGTGGCTACCTTAAGGAGGGTGGGCTACATTAGTCACAGTCCCATCCAAAGGAAGCAAAGGGCTGAGATGTTGCAACTAAGTAGTACTTAAGTTACAACTGACCTGAACACAAATTTTCTCTGCCTTTTTTCAGCAGGGGGTCATGAGCCTTGTTGATTTACTCTGTTGGGTTACACAACAGCATAAACATGAACAGTAGCAGACACCTCTGGGTGCTCCATTTCAAGAAGAAAGGAACTTGTTAAAATGGATGTTTACACTTTGACAAGTCAGACAACATCCTCAGCCACCACTTGCATCTATTTATTCCACTATTTTTTTTTTTAAAGGGAAACACTTCCTCAAAAGGAGACAGAGACTTAGATTATTATATTGCACAAAGAAGATGTGATGAGTATTTCCCACCAGCTATGCCGTCTTTCCTTTGGGTCCTCTCTGCATACGAACATTCTAGATATTGTATTGCTTCAGAGGTACCTCCATTAACAGTAAAAGTGATAGTATAAATCCAAATAAGGAATTCTGGTTCTCCCTGCTGGGGCCAGGCACATTATTTTTAAGCCCTGAGCTCAATGAAGGCATCAGATTTGGAAGATGTGAATGCTGCTTGTTGAGTATGTCCTCATAACTCTCCATAAGACAGGGAAATACTATTTTTATTTTACAGGTGGGGTGGTTTTTTTTTTTTTTTTTTTTCCTAATTACAGCATGGTCAGCTCAGGAAAGTATTTATCTGTTATTTACCTGTTATGGATGCTCCTCTTCAGTCCTTCTGAATTCTGCTTGAACGTTCCCCCTGAAATTCAATATTGACAAGGCTGACATCATGAGACAGTTTAACAATCTCGTGACCAAAACAAATTTTCCCACACATTTTGGTTAGATAAACTCTCTTAACTTTGGAGGAAGTAACATTTACTGCAAACATCCCAGTTTTATATGTGAATGATAGCTTTAGCTGCAAACAGACAACGATGCCAACAAGCTGTGCCAGGTCAGGTGAGGTAAGGGAAACAGGTGACCTCATTTCTTTCCCACTTGCCAGTAGGATCAGCACAACGGCTCATTATTCCCCTGCTTATTTATGGGCTCCTGTAAATTCACCCTTCTACCGTCGGACCATATTAGTACCACATCTCTATTTGTACCTCCTTTTCAGAAGTGGACAAAGACTATCAGTTGGCCTTTAAGAAGCACGGGCACGATGAGTCTCCCTTCTCCAACCTCGCGCTCTGAGGAGCGGCGTGAGGGACATGACAAAGCATCGCCAGCCCTGGGGCGTTCCGCAGGCTTCTCTCGCGCCGGTGCGAGGAACGGCGCAGCCCGGGATTGCAGGAACGCCGGGCAGAAATGCCGGGCTGGAATGCCCGGGCAGGAATGCCGAGCAGGAATGTGGAGCAGGAGCGCCAACGCCGGCGTACTGCGCGGGAGGAGGCCCCGTGCCAAAAGCGCTGTGGGCAGGCTCTGGCGCCCCCTGCCGGGCACTGTCCGCCACGGCCTCCTCACGGCCGCCTCACGCCCGCCCCGCCAGCGGCCTGCGGCCCGATCACTCGCGTTCCGTCAGGGACTTGCCAAAGCTTTTAGCGTTCCTCCCCGGCCAGCCAGTGTGGGAAACACAGTGCAAACCTCATAGGATCATGGCATCGTTTATGTTGGGAAAAAACGTCCAATATCATCGAGTCCAACCAGACTTAATTCGGCACTGCAAGACCCCCACTAAGCCATGTCACTCAGTGCCACATTTACACGTCTTTAAAACACCACCAGGGAAGGGGATTAAACCCTTGGCTACCTGTTCTAATGAATGACCACCCTTTCCATACATAAATTTTTCAGAATACCCAATCTAAACCTCCCTGGTGCAATTTTAAGCCATCTTGTCCTATCACTTCTTGCTTGAGAGAAGAGACCAACCCCCACTTGGCTACACACTTCTTTCAGGTGTTTGTAGAAAGTGATAAGGCTCTCCCTGAGCCTCCTTTTCTTCAGGCTACACATCCCCAGCTTCCTCAGCCACTCCTCATAGGACTTAAACTCCAGACCCTTCTCCAGCTCCATTTCTATTGTCTGGACTTGCTCCAGCACCTCAATGTCTCCCCTGTAGTGAGGGACCCAGAACTGGACACAGGACCTGAGGTGTGGCYTCACTGGTCCTGAGTACAGGGACAATTGCTGYCCTATATCTATTCATTTCTATTATACACAGTGATGCCAAAAGCACCCAGGGGCAGTAAGAGATCTGTTTTCCATGGCACAGGTCACTGCACAGCCTTTGATTCTTTAAACATATGAGGCATAAACCTAAGACAGAGATGCAGTCTCCAGCATCCCGCCCAAGACAAACTCATCCATGTGCTCACCAGCCACAAGTGGCTACATAATACTGACACAAGAACCATCAGGATCTTAATTCCCATAGCCACTCCAGGGAAACCGAATATCCAATGTCCATTTTTGAAAAAGCAGAGTATTTTTTATCAAAACAAAAATTGTCCCCCTAAAACAGAAGGTGTGAAATGTAGTACAACTTGTACTCGTGGGACCCTTCCAACTCAGAATATTCTGTGAATCTGTAAAAAAATACTGTGAAGTGCCATAGAGCAGTGTGTGCAGAATATGTCTGCTGCTGGACTTAAAAACATTTGCCACTATTTAATGACCTATAAACAAGGATGTTTGTATTAGGTTTCTGCCGTAAGCTCYGTTTTCTCAACCTCAAAACGCTGATTTTGGGAATTCTGTGTACAGACATGACATGGGGCCAGGTTCCATAGCCATGCACTCAAAACCACACACCCACCAAACCAAATGTGAAAACAATGTGAAATAAAAAGCAACTGTTCCATGATGGCTTAAAGCTGTCTCATCTGGGGCTAGCATGGCCATCTCCCACTTTTCCTTCCCTGCCCCAGCCCCAGAAGCTGACATTTTTCAACCAGCTGAATTTGAGTAGTCTGATTTCAGTTTAGTTTAGAGACGGCCCTGGAACAGCTTTTGGGCTGCCTGTTACACTACGACCTCATCCCCTGCCGTTCAACAACAGACTGAAGTTATTTCAACCAGACTACTAAATCAGGGAACAGAAACAAAAGCAGAAGCATTCTATGACATACAGTAATTGTACTTCTAGCATTAATGACCTGGTGAGGTTTTTTCCATGAGCTAGAAACTGTATTTCCTGCTAATTAGATTGCACTGGGAGCTACCCAGTAGCTTGTCAAAAGCAAACGTGATCCCCTCTTCAAGACACAAAAATCTTAAAGAAAATCTCTGTGATGATACGATAATGCCCTTGTGCAATTTGGTTTTGTGTTTGAGGTTTTTTTTAATAGGGACTGTCTAATTATCTCAGACTAATCCTGTGAACATCAAACATTCTGCAGCTACAACCAACTTATTTGCAACTACAGTTAAATCCTCACACCCTTTAAGAGTATTCTAATTGTCAGTGCTTCCCGTAATTAAAATCAGAAACACTGGCATACTTTCTGTTCTCAGGTTCCCAGAGCATTTTATTGCACAGATCTATTAGATCACCTAAGCCAATTGACCTGTACAAAATGGGTCTTGTCAAAAACAGAACAGAAAGCCTTTTGGGGGAGTTCATTACCTTTTTTTCTGGGAAAGCGGTAATTGGAAATCCTATTTTAAATAGATATCTAGTTCAGTTTCATATTCCAAGATTAATTCTTTGTTTCATTGCTATAAATGCCTAAAATGCCTTAATGATCAAATCCTTAAATCCAGCACATTATTTGTCAGCTGTTCACATGTATCTCACTGCTGCTAAGCAATGGTCAGAATGAATGGGCAGACTCTGCCCTCATTTACCTCCACGGGAAGAAGTCCACATTGCTGCCAGTGCCATTGTTGCTAATTATTGCTGGTGATTTGCTTCATTCAGGATCTCAGCTGACAATGTGAACCATTCGGTGGGCGCAGGATGGATTTTGTTCCCATGGAGCCTGTGAGCCTTTCTGTCTCTGGTCACCAGCTGACAGGGAGACACCAGCAGGTCTCAAGGTGGCCTGAGGTACCTGTCACAGAGCCATTAAAGCAGGGGTTTTCCACAGGATATGAGATAGGAGTGAGAGGGGGCATTTCCACAGGCAAAGTAGCCTCAAAGTTGGTCACTTTTATTTCAATATATGCCAACTTTGTTCTCTCAACCAAACCACCTCACATCACCGGCCTCAGCAGTGCACCATAGAATATCAGTTCATTCAGCACAGCCAGATTCATAACCCAGGGCTAAAATACCATGACAGCAGAGTGACATGGCTCTTCTCTATGCTCCCATATATCATTAGCTTTTATAAAAAGAAATCAAAATATCAAGGCAAGCCAAGAAAGGAAACAAAAATAACTCATTTAAATAGAGAACTGAAATTCAATAGAAAAATAATAGCCAAAAGAGGATGTAACAAGCACTGTATGTCTGAAGAAAAAGAACAAACCCTGCACTTACTTGTGGTATTCAATTAGAAAAACAAAAAATTCCACTGATTTCATTGAGAGCAGAATCATACCTTGGCTTGAGGCCTGTGTGATGGCAAAAGAAGGATATCTATGTTTTCAATCTAAAATTATCCCTCCACATTGAAAAATCACTACTACTCATCTGCCCAGGCTTCATTCARCTTCAAGGATTTCAATGGTCCAAACAAAACTCAGTAACTTCTCTCTTTACAGCTAAGTCTTTAGTCTCATTTAGGAATATTATGATCTCAGTGTTTAAAGTAGCTCATTAATTTTCTTCGAGGAGTCTGTGGACTATTTTAGCCTTGAAAGGTAGCTAAGAAAAGCAAGGATATGGACAACAGGGTTCCATCCACCACAGAAATTTATTCCTCCTTTGAAAAAAATTGTAGGATGCCTGCACAACAGCACAGTTCAAAAGCACTGCAGATAAAATCAGGAAAAAAATCCCAAACCTGAAAAATGGAACAAGACAGAGAAGGAAAGTTGTGATGCGGTGAGACATTTGTCCTAACAGGTCAGCATTATGAAAAAGACAGAACAGAAGGCTATAATCAAACAGGTTCTACCATTGGATTTCCCCAAACTCATTGTTAATGTTTGAACCTTCATTGCCAGATTAATACTTCCTCAGGTAATCCTGAGGATGTCTGCTATCTCTTCCCTGTTCAGTCATTAATACAACAGGGGTCAGCACATCACTGACAGAGGATTTCTTGGCAAGAGTAGTTTGCATTATGGACAGCTCAAATCAAGGGCTGCCTCCCAAATCCCCTCCTTTGAGTGAATGCCCTGATAGTAAAGCTACACAGTCAGCTTGTTGGGTTTTGGGGTTTCCAATGAATTCTTGTTTCACATTACCTCTTTATTCAGAAGGAGGATGAGCATGTGCAGGTCAGAGCAACCCAGACACTCTAATGCTGAAGACATTAAGAGCAAGCATGTCAGACCTCTCACTGGGAGGAAGGAAATGCACCCACCAAACCTGCAGCCTTGTCAGTCAGAATCTTGCCTGAGAACACAGCCCTTTCAGGAAGCCTTAGGTCTTAGCTTCCCTGAAACTGAAAGTTAGCATTTGTCCAAATCTCAGAAGGGGGAAAAAATGGCTCAGCAAAACTGAATTATTAACATTTAAGAATTTGATAAAAAAGTATGATAAAAAAGTTGTTCCTGGGTTTTCAGCTGTTCAGATGGGCAGTAAAATGAAAATGACTCAAATAGTCCTACCCAGGTGTCAGCTGGGAATCTGTTCAAAAGCTTCACGTAGTGACAAAAACCCATTTATGATTAATGTATTCAATAAGGTGCACTGCAGTAGATTCCTGAGAACTGATAAAAGACTGCAAATGCAACAGTTTGTCTGTTTTCATACTGCTAATGCCAGTCCTCCCAACAGTCCAGAAAAGTTGCCCCTCCYTTCAACCTTGTCTCTTCCAAAATGTGGAGTTGTTAGCAGCTGCTAACAAATCATTTTATACATTGTTAAGTTTCAAATATAACCACACCCTGCAGCTTGAGGTGATGCCATGTTCTCTCCCTCTCTGGTAAATAGCTCCCATTATCTAGTGCAGTAATTTACAGTCATTATGAAGTGATTATCAAGAACCATGTGAAAACTTTGGGAAAACTAGATGGAAGATAAGGCTGGGACAAGGAGTGACTTGTTATGAGCCTCATATAGTTAAACAAGGCCAAGATCCTGCACATTGGTCAGGGCAAGCCCTAGTACCAACACAGACTGGGGGATGGATGGATGGATGGATGGATGGATTGAAAGTAGCCCTGAGGAAAACGACCTGAAGCAGCTGGGGGACGAAAAATTGGATGTGACTTGACAGTGTGGGTTCACAGCCCAGAAAGCCATCCATATCCTGGGCTGCAACAAAAGCAGTGTGGCCAGCAGGGCAAGGTGGGGGATTC